CACAATTTACAAACAATGTCCCTCAAATATCTTGACACATTCACAAACCTTAACGTATATCAAAATAGAACCTAGCACCAGCCACGTTCGACAACTTACTTGTATATTTGAATGAAAACAACCAAACGACACCGTACCACAATGTGGCACTATACACACAGTCCAACATATATGTGCTTCCACTCACATTCAACAGTAATTTTACATTGGGTCACAATCACATTCATTAACTGTACAACACACAACACAAAAACGTGGCACATTTCACATCCAACAACTGATTTTTTAAAGTTAATACGCAGAACCAAACGACATCGTATCACAACAAGAAAACCCCAAAAATAGTCTACCAAACACAATACTTTGCATGGATCGAAAAAAAACAAAAAAAAATAGACCACGTACCAAGCAATACAACAACGAATCAAGCACAAAACACCCACACTGGTTAACCCGCAGAACCCCCATCGAACAATCCCCACATATATATTATTTCCAAATCGAAAACTGTAAAATCCATTATTCCTCACAAAACTCACAAAACATACAACCAACAAAACATATTACGACTGAAGTTTACCGAAATTATCAAAAACCCCATATTCACATAAACCCTAGTTCTGGATTGTTAATCAAAATCAAATCAATGAACATTGCAAAACAAGGGCAAATCCACACTTATGTTTTGGAGCCATCATTCCTCCTCGTTCACCGAAAACGGTATTTCGTTAGCACCTTCCAGTCGAACGTGTCAGTTGAATCGCGCCCCTTCTCCTGTTCGTGGTGGGTTTCGAAATGTTATCAACTGAATTAACCGTTTACATTAGCGTAGAGCCACAAAACATATCTACTTCTTTTTTATCCCTAAAATTTTGCCAAAGTGAACCTGTAATTTCCACAAATCACGTGTATTTTGAATTTCAAAACCATATGTATATGGATATGATCTATGATAATATTTAATTTCCTATATATGATTTTTATATTATTTATGATATTAGCAACTACTATTAAGGGTAAATGTGATACGTAACCTCCCATAAGACTTATGGGAATATAAGTTTTTACTTAAAACCATATGTAACATAAGTCTCCAAACTAAGACTTATAAATAGTTCTCCCTTATTTTAATAATAAAATTTTATATTTTAATAGAAATTTGATAATTTTAACTTTTCTATTATTGTATTTTATTTTACCTAATCAATACTCTCTCAAACTATTTATATTAAAATTGAGTTTAAACAAACAAAATTGGGTCGAATAATTTTTCTATCTTGCCCAAGTTAGCCCATATTATTTATAAAATTTATTAAATTATAATAAATAAATTAAAAGTTGATTTTACTTATTTTAAAAATAACTTAGATTCTTTCCTCCTTTCTCACTCTTTTAAGTCATTATCGACCAACTCCTACGTTTTATTGTTGTTACTGAAAACCCCTCTAATAACCACCTTCAAAGAGTCTCCATCTTTGATGGCTGACAACCATCTTCGTCAGCACCTCCCACCAAAAACTACCTTTCAAAACTTCTCACTTGCTTAAAACTCCTTTGAAAATATACATGTGGACAAATATGGTTTTGTTTTTATTCTCACAAAAAATAAACACAACATATTTAGTAGTTTCTTAAAAGAAATATACATAAATGTTACCAAACAAAGCCAAATGTTTGTGTTAAACTAGACTACAATATGTTATTATTATTAATTAATTAAATTTTATTGAGTACATAATTTTATTATAATAATTAGACCTGAAATAGATTTTAGGACTGCTATCAATCTGGACTAGTGAAGAGAAGCGATACTGTAACGATAGATGGGAGTGTTAGGGGACGGGAATGGATAGGAGTAGTACCGATAGAAGATCAGTTGAGAGAAAATCGATTGAGATGGTCACATTCAACGGAGATCAATAGAGGCTGTAGTGAAGAGATGTGATACTGTAACGGTAGATGGGAGCGTTAGGAGAAGGGATAGGCCTAGATTAACGTTGGTTAGCGTTGTAAATAGAGATATGGATTTACTTGATTTGACTAACGAAATGACCTTTGATAGGACCGCGTGGAGAAGAAGGATTTATATAACCAACTCAATATGATGAGACTTAAAGCTTGGTTTGGTTTGGTTTGGTTTGGTTTAGTTTGATTTATCAATCTGGACTAGGGTTGGGCATATGATTCTTTTTTTTCTTTTTTTCTTTTTTTAAAGTTCTTCTGGCGTAGGCCCCCATTCCAAAAAACTCATTTTGGCAAAGTCTTAAAAAAAATAAAAAACCTTCTCCATGGTAAGTCAGCCCAAACCAAAGAGAGAATCATGTTTGCTAAGGGGTCCAAAAAAATGACCTGTATTGGGGCTGTGGGCCGTAACATGACTTAAGCTGGGCATACATCTCTTGACATTTCAGGCCCAGTAACTTTACTACATTACCCACCCAAAAAAACTTTACTACAGAACTCAATACCTACACGCGCGCGCGCACACACAAAAAAAATAAAAATAAATAAAGAACTAGTTTCATGCTAAACCTTAAATTCACATTTGACAATAGTGTCAGATGGTTGAAGATTCCATATGTTTGGTATTTGTCTTGGTATCTCCAAATCTGCTTTGAAAACAAACTCAAATTTTTTGAACATCAAACATTACGTGGAATCCCTATCCAAATTTAAAGCCATAGTGCTTTTCATTGACTTCATGGAAAATATTACAAAACTATATGTTTGACAATGTATACATTTAGATAAGAATTTTACTTGCTGGATATGTTAAAAAGAAATTTGTGATTGTGGTCTCAAGTCCAACTCAAGTGAATAAGATGGTTTTTAGCAACCCAAAATAAATAATTAAAATAGAATTCATATAATGATATTACAAATTTAGGGCTCATTATGCATCAATTTCAATTTCTAAGTTTTTTATTTTTATTTTTTCTTTATTTTTCATATTCGTTTATGTGTTTCTAGAAATAAAAATAAAAAAGGAAAAATTTCTTATGGCTTATGGAGGCTACAAACTGTGAAAATTCTATTGGTGCTCTTGAGTTTAGTGGGTCTACCTTAAGATCTATTTCTATAATTTGAACGGGTTATTTTGTGGTACCTATTAAAAGATCATAGCTACAAAATTATTGTAGTTGTTTAAAAAAAGGGGGAAACTTGCTAATAAGTCTCATAAACAAAGTTCAAAATCTATCCCACTCCAAAGCAAAATACTTGCGTTAATTAGCCATATATATTTTTAATTGTTACCAAAAAAATTAAAAACGCTCCTACATCCATCATCGTTGGACTTCCGTCAAAAGGTCATCGAAGAATCGTCGGAATATTCAATATCACCAAGAAGTCACCGGAATATCATTGGAAATTGGTCAGAGTATCGTCGAAATGTTCTGAATGTCACTAAAAGTCGTCAAAATGTCTAGAATAGTCTATGGATGTCAAGAATATTGTTGAAGACTCATCGGAATATCTAGAATATTGTCGAAAAAAAAAAAAAATAAACTGAGAAATTAAAGTGAAAAAACATAGTAAAATATACTAAATATTAAAAAAAAAAAAAACCTAAGAACAACAAACAGTTACAATGAAAAAAAACATATGTTATTTTCAATTTTTGTAGGGTTTTAAGCAAATAATTTCTAATATTGATCAAACTGAAAAGTAAGCTTTAAAACTGTAAAATGTTACAGTTTCAAAGTATGATTCTATTAAACATTTATCCTTATTAATCAAATTGAAAAATATGTTATGAAATTATAAAATTTTACAATTTTCACTGCTTGTAATTAAAACTCGAAAATAACTTGTTCAAAACTTGAAAAACTTTGCCATTATAACATGAAAATAGAAAATGTATAGTGCAAAAAAAAGTAATAAAACTGAGAGATCGAAAGAAAGAGACAGATATCGAAAGATGCTTGTACTTCGACAAGATTAGAGACGTAACCGACCAGTAATCCGAGATTACTAAAAGCCTGCTCACCAGTCAATAGTATAAGGGGCTAACGAAAGCCGATAATATCTCAATTTATCGTCCAATGAGCTGTGAAGCCGAATTTAACGTAGATCTACTAAATCTATGTCAGATCTGAATAGATTACTCATCTTCTTCTTCAAAAACTCATTTGCATTGTTGTTGGTGAGCACGAAGCAAGGAGTTGGTTCACGGTGATTGTCTATGAACTCCAATCAATGGTGGTAGAAAAAGAAAGAAAAAAAAGGAATGCATAGACGTGGTCGTGGTCGTCGCCGATATCAAAGAAAGAAAGATACAGAGCAGAAATAAGGTGTAAGGAAAGAAGAGAAAATAAATAGGTATAGGACTTTTAAATCTATCCAAAAAGTTTTAAAATTAAATAAAATACACACTTCCTAAAAAAAACTGGTGGTTATTTGCTCAAAGAGGAGCAAGATGGGTCCATCAAACCCACCATATCTCCATTTAGGCATAAATCCAAAACCAGCTCAAAAAAGTTTTTGAAAAAAAAAAAAAAGGAAGAAAAAGTGGAATAATTGATACACCAATCTTTTCACCCTCTATTGTTCAAGTCTTACAACTGTTATTATGACAGTAATCATTTATGGCATCTTCCATATTTAAGCAAGAATTTCCATGAAGATTTTCGGGGCTTGGTAGATACTTTTTCTTTTTTTGTTAAGTAACCTTTTGTTTTTGCTTTTTTCACTTAGGAAGAATAATTGTTAAAAAAATGATGTATTTGACAAATACCAAAAACATTACACTTTTTTGTTAGTGAAAAACTTGAGTAAGATGACCCGGACAATTGCTCAAGTTTTTAGGCTTGAGTCCATGAAGAAATGTTAGCATGCGTTATAATTTAACTATTAATATACTAACCGCTATCTTGGGTTCAAAAAACAAACAACAAAAAACAAAAAAAACTTGAGTAAAAAATTTTTTTTTCCCCATTTGTCAGCTAAATAAATCATTATCAACTGCAATAACAAACAAAGTGACTTAGTTCAAAAAACAAAAAACAAACAAACAAACAAAGTGACTATTTCAACCAAAAAGATTGCAAAAAGGACATCAATTGTTATTCACAAGTACCTCCCACAACATTATGAGCTCGACCCAGTTCCATTATTAAGGACAGCAACCAACCAGTACTGCATCCCCACCTAACAATAACACACACCATCCCCATGACAGTGTTCTAGGTCAGTGATCTATTTACAACCACATGTTGATCTCCATGGCTATAAACCCACATACGTGGCCCATCCTCAACCATTGAAATTCCCAATCAAATCAGCAGCATTGCCACCTTTTTACTGTGGTGTTGGATAGGATCCGAGTCTGAGTGGACCCTTTGGTTGTCTTTTTGTTTTTTTTTTTAGTTTGTTTGCCTTGGTGTGTGACCGGAGAATGAGGTGAGCAATTGCATCATCATCTACTACAATGGTGTTGGGAGGAAGAAGAGTGGGGGAGGATGAGAGCCGTTAGATGAGGTGGGGAGGGATGGTGGAGATGCCTTGCCTTGAGAGCTCAGTGAGTACAGAGTCTGTTGAAGGAGGCTTGAGGCCTATGGGAAGAGGCAACCATCGCTTGTTTATTGCCTCCTTCACAACCTTGTCAATGACCTCGTCTGCCTGTGCATACAAACAATGACTTACTTGTATTAAGACAAAAACCCAAAAAAAAAGAAGGAAAAAGAAAAAAGAAAAAAAGAGAGATTTGTATGAAAGAAAAAAGAAAAAAAGAGAGATTTGTATGAGACAGAATTTCTCTATTGAGGATGTTCAAATTTTAAAAGATAGAATGATGAAAATGCATGGAATTACTTACCGCTTGAAGATCAACAGAACTCGGTGGCATCATGTAGCTGCTATGTGTTGCATAAGCATTGTTAAACCCATTGGCATTCTGCTTTTTCCAAATAACATGCAGTCAGTGGACCTTGTCTAACTTCATGCATTAACTAGAAGAAGACATTTCTCAATCAATAATCAAAACACGAAACATTCACACCAATATACTTACTTGAGGGAAAGACGGATATGGTCCGTGAGGTGGCGGTGGTGGCATCACAGGGCAGCCCCATGCATCAGCATGCATCTGAAACACCATAACATCCACATATTAGGCTCTGTTTGGTTCAGCTTATGAGACTTCTTATAGCTTTTTTACTTTGAAAATTTTTGTCAAAGTATCTCGTGTAATTTCTATTTACAACTTACAATGTATTAATTATAAAAAAAAAATAAAAAAAAAAGATTATTTAGAAGCAGGAAAAGGGGTATTGTTAACTTATACTTTTTCATTATCAATTTTTAATTTCACCAAACAGACCCTTAATCAAATATAGTAAGTTCCACACAAGACTTCTCCATGAAGCTAAATCCTCTGTCCAGAATCTCCCATTTCCCCTGTCCCAAAACACCTCTCTACCGGCCTAATTGTGTGCGTTCGGCATTGACATAGAGGGACAGGAAGATCTGGACAGAAGATTCCCATGCCTTCTCCATGACAGGAAACACCATCAACAACAGGCTTGTTTTAGGCCAAAAAATAACGGAAGCATAAGAGAGCAAATGTTACCCCTGGATATGGCTTCCAATGCCAACTTTCTGTAGGCTGCCACGGTGGATAGAAAGCAGGGCCCCACATCTGGACACCGGAGGCGTAGCTTCTGGGAGGTCCCCATGCCGGATAGACCTGAGCAGCAGGTAGGGTCGGATTAGAATGATATGGAGGGAAGGCCATAACAGGTTTGTGTGGATGGTAACTCCTTTGTGAGGGGTCTCTTGGATGAGGCCATCTCCTCTCAACTTCCTTCGGCAAAATGTGTCTCCGCTGCATTCTGTATTTCTGCTTCAAAAAGAGTCACAGTCATTCTAAAAAGCTATGAAACGTTGTTCTAGTGTGGAAAGAAATGTGGTTTTGTCTCCACGTCTCAATTTCATTGTTTTGGGGAAATAAACCCCAACCCCCCCCCCCCCCCCCCTCTTCAAATTTGCACTAAAAAACTAGATTACTATTAATGTGCATCTCTATTGCTAAATTTACCACCAACCTGGAGATGACTAGCTACATTATGTCTAGTCAATCCATCCACTTTCATCAACTCTAGTATTCGAGAAGGAATGGCCTGATCCACGCCAAGTTTATCTACAGCCTGTACAAACTTTTTGTGCAGTTCAGGTGTCCAGTCTACCTAAAACCCAACAAAACACGAATGTAAGCTTCATAAGTATAATCCAAAGTTACTTAGAGCACATTCATGGAAAGTTTACTTTTAATTATAGAGAAATTTTCAACTTGAGATTCAATGATTGAGCAAGAATTTACGTCATTATTGAGTCAAAGAATTTTCTGTAACTAGTGAATGTAGAGTTACAAGAAAGCACTCTCACTAGGGTGAGTCCATGACCAACCCCTGTGCAAGCATGGCAAGTCAAGATACAGGAATTGAAAAGGGAAATGACTAGAAATAGTTGTGAAATTTAAGTTTTTTTTGGTTTTTTATTTGTATTTATATTTATCAGTTGAGAGTAAAATTGTAAATTTATGACAGTAATTTAGTTACTACTGATAATGATTCAAATAATTATTGGATCATATGAAAGAGTTGGGATGTAATTAATAAAGCCCACTCATAGACTAATTTACCTTCATCTTCTTCCGATTAGCTTTATTCCCACATGAATTACGAACCCCAGATGCCTTATTCAGGTTTGCAGCATCACCACCAGAATCACTAGGACCGTCTTTGTTCTCTAAACGCGAAGACACGTTACTCTCGCTCTTACAACCATCAAGTGATTCATCCTCATCTTTAATAACAGCCACTTCCGATATCTGAGGTGGGATTTCCCAAACGGTAGTTTCAGCATCTAAATTTTCACAAGTAGTGTCAACAGATTTATATTCCCCATCTTGATCCCCGCCCTCTTTCTCTGTCAAGCAGTTAATCTGGTCTTGGCAATCCCCATCATCCACCAACCTCACTCCTTGTTCCAATTGCGGGGTTGGGGGAGCTGGGTACTTATCGTGCTCCTCCTTGTTTTCTTCCACCACAGTTTCATGTTCTTCTTTGACTGAGATACCGCTCATTGGTTCTCCGTTTTCCAACTGGAGGCGAAGCATAGAAACCATGGATTCTTTGACAGGCTTTAATGATTCAGAGAGGTCCTTTCCTCCTGCGTTGAATGCCTGCTCAGGCAAATAAGTTTATGATTTACTTTTCATGGAAAATTTTATAGTTAAAGCATAATGCATTGACGCTAGAATCTAGACTAACCTTATGAACAACGTGCTGCCATATATTTCTAAGCTTGTCATCAGAAAGAGGTTTTAGGAGAAATTCAACTGCTCCAAGCTGCAAATTTCCACAGACCAAAGCATTGACAACTACGATGCATATGAAGAGCTTGATATGCTTTAAAGATATAATTTCCCTTAACTTCAGTCTCATTCCAAATTGAATCAAAAAATTTCTAGATTGATTTTATTCACAATTTATGAAAGTGTGAATTTTTACTCCATGCTCTTTGTTGCATACAAACATGCATTAATCAGTGCAATGAGAGCATGAACTAGAATTCTCACCGTTATGCACTTCATCATGGTAGTCAGGCATTGTGTGTTTGAAGTCACTGTAACAAAAGAGTGATCAAAACAATTTAGAAACTGTTTTGTGTGTAAAAAAATGGACTATTTTTCGTTGCGCTAAGTCATATCCTAATGAATCATTTACAAAGTGCTTTGGTACATACATGAAGAGATACGACTTTTGCACTTACTTATTGTGGGCAAGTCTGTTGCAACTTCAAGAAACTTGAATCTTCCATGGCTGTTTCCGGTGCTCACCTGTGAAAATGAACGAAATTTTAATGTGAAGATTAACACGGGACTCATGTCACACAAGAACCGACCGTCTGCTTAATTAGATATTAATTGAAATTATCTTCCAAAATTGGCTTTCATAAATAGAGAATCATTACTCTTGTGTCTTAAGAACTATTTAAATGAATTCATGACTTGTATCCACATAACACTATTTACGTACATGCATATCTAATAGTTGATCCTTTCAGTGCTTGCAATTTTAATTGAAGTTTAGTACCTCTACAATAGCAACATGGAAGCTCTCAGGTTTGTCCGAAATTGCTGTCAAAGCTTCATCCTCATCGCAGAACATAGAAACTGTAAAGGGCAAGGGCAATGAGATATTAACATATATAGGTGCATGCATATGAGAGAGAGAGAGAGAGAGAGAGAGAGAGAGAAGAGAGAGTTTTGGCCAACCATCATGTGACTAACTTGGTAAAATTATGTCAAATTCTTTTTTAACTTTTTATAGATCCATCTCGATTAGACTATCATAAAAATTTATTTTATTTTTAAAAAATAGTCCAGAGAAAGAAAAAAATAATCCCCTTTTTTGGTTGATTACAAAAATAAGCCATTTGGCTTTAGTGAACCTTTTTCAAAATTGACTCAAATTTTTTTAATTTTAAGAAACATCTAGTTGAGATGGACCAATGAAGTTACAAAAAAAAAAAAAAAAAAGACTCAAAGTTGAAAAAAATTCAATGAAGACAAAAATAAGTCGGAAAAATAAGGTGCCTTCTTAGTTTTAGCTAAATGAAGAGGACCAGTTTCCAAGGATATAGTTGAAGTTCAAGCTTGTGAAATTGAACTGAGTCGAAGTGTTATAATAGCTTAACTAACATGTAAATCCATAGGAAAACAGTTAAAATGTAGTGCAATTTCACTACTTTCATTAATCATTTCAATATTTCTAATTTTAGAACAGTTGGAGATGCAGGAAGGAAAGCAAGTCCTCCACCAAGCAATGAAGTCTTTACAAGTCAAAACCAATTCTAAGTTGTATATGACTAAATTCCAAAACGATCTAAAGAATAAGATGTCATATGGGAAGCAACAAATATCGACAACAGGCAAATTAGGACAGACCAATTGTAGTTTACCAAAGGAAAACAGAATTTGAAAAGCAAAAGAAAAAAATGAAACCAAAATCTCTAACCAATGTAGTTCATTTCCTCGAGCTTCAACCTTAGCTCAGCAGCAGAACTGCTGTCTTCGTCGAGGAGGAGGACTCGGAGGCCCTTAGGAAAATCTGTCCATCCCAGTAGATCATTAGCAGTGCAAACCATAGCTGGTTTGGCATCGTTCTCAGGCCAATGATGAGTGTCGCAGATTGGAGGTTATGGACATCCAATCAATCAATTCTGCATAACCCACATAAATTTCCCATCAAATCTATCATCTCTTGGTCTAAAACATCAAGATTGTTAAGCTAATCTAGTACATGTATTGAAAAGAAAAGCACCAAAATATTTTTGAAAGAAAAATTCTCCTAAAAATATCAACAACTAGTTGGCATGCCATGTAACAAAACCATTTACACAACAACAATAGATGAAATAACAAAGATAGTGACTCTAACCATAAAAAAAAAAAAACTTTAATTAACACAAAAAGAGCTAAAAAGAGTGATCCAGTACATGAGACTCTTGTTAAAATGGAGTCTTAAATCTAAGCACTAATAACGCTAACGGCAAGTCCTACAGTTGAGACAAGCTCTCCATCAGACTCTAAAACACCCACAAAAACTCCTAAAAATATCAACAAATAGTTGGCATGCCATGTAACAAAACCATTTACACAACAACAATAGATGAAATAACAAAGATAGTGACTCTAACCATAAAAAAAAAAAAACTTTAATATAACACAAAAAGAGCTAAAAAGAGTGATCCAGTACATGAGACTCTTGTTAAAATGGAGTCTTAAATCTAAGCACTAATAACGCTAACGGCAAGTCCTACAGTTGAGACAAGCTCTCCATCAGACTCTAAAACACCCACAAAAAAAAGGGGGGGTAAAATTTAGACCATGCATGCTGGCACTGTTGGATCAAGGTCCATGGATTTGATCTAAATACCCAGTACTATCAACTAATTAAAATTGTCAGTCACTGATCTATAAATCTTATGTGCATAAGATGGGGAAAAAGATTGTGTTGATGTTATAAGATCTTATTAGCAAATGGAATCGTTCAAAAAAAAAAATTATTAGCAAAAGGAAAAGACAACAAAACACCAAACATAGAAAGAAACATATGGGAAAATCATTATTAGTCACATAGTCAACAGACTACCAGAAAATACCTCTCGGTGAAGCTAGAAACAGAGAGATAATAAGTGTGTAGAGATCAAGAGAAGAAAATCACAAAGAAAATTCACTAAAATCCCACAAAAAATATGAATTGATCAAATCACATATGAAACATAGAAGCATAGAAAATGCAATGAAGAGAAGCTTTTATTACCCTTCGTCTAGAAGGAAAACAAGCTTTGTCACTCTGGTTTTCTTTGTTCTTATCTTGTTGGGTAGAATGTAGAGGAAGAAAACCAGGAATCAAGAGAGAACCAGGAATCAAGAGAGAGGAAATTCAAAAGTTGAGAGAGAGAGAGAGAGAGGGTGTTTAAGTGGAGTCAAGAGCCTCTCCTTCCAAGTCCGTGCTTGCGTCCGTCTTTGTAGGCTTTCGGGTCTACTTTTAGGCTCAATTTTGATAATCTGAATCGTTTATATTTTATGATTTATTCAGTATATCATACCTGTAAAAAATCAAGTTGATCGGATATCAGAAAGTATGTGTTTGAAAAATTGAACTAAACACTATTTTTTAAAGATTTTAATAAACAGTTTTCCGAACACATACTTTCTGATATTCGATCAACTTGATTTTTTATAGGTATGATATACTGAATAAATCATAAAATATGAACGGTTCGAATTATCAAAATTAAGCCTAAAAGTAGATCCAAAAGCCTGCAAAAACAGGCGCAAGCACGGAAGCTGCAAGGAGAGGATCTTCACTCGTTTAAGTGCGCTTTCTGGAGGTGTCTGTGACTCTGCACAGTTACTGTCAGTTGCTGCAGACCACAGAATATGCAAAAAGGCTCCCCCTACTGGTCAATACAAAAAAGTTCAATTTTTTTTTTTTTTATTGTAGAAAAACTTTTTATGGAAATCACTATTTGTTATGAATTTTTATTCTAAAAATCACCTCAAAATAAGATATATGATACTGATTTAAATTTATAGGACGGAGACATACGTAGAAGGATTATAGTATATAAATGTAATATTGTTATTTATTTATGGGTTTTGTTGATATTATTTGATGGTACAGTTACGATACAATGGATTTCAGGTGAAATAAGTGGGATTAATCCACGCTTCTTTAACCAGTAACTGAGTGTTCAAGTCCACCAGAGAACCTGCACACAAGTTTAACAGGGGAACGGGGAGTCTCCCAGCGAAGCCTCCGACGAGCAAGTTAGAGAGAGAGAAGTGTAATGTAGAGATATGAATTGGAGGTAGAAAGCTTAACCTTCTTCTTGTCTTCAACGTCTGCTTATATCCTTTGGTAATCATTTCGCCGTCCCTTCCGACCTGCCACCTTGGCCTAAAGTCTATGCTGTAGCTTACCTTATTCAGGGTGAGAAGGTTCTATTCCGACAGAGAGGTGTTGTCGTAATAAATGTTATGATGGGCCGCATTAATGGCGATGTGCAGTGGCAATAACTTTACAGATCTTTGTCTGCTGATGTGATTTGTCCTTTACCTGCCACATGTCTGAATATCATTGGTTCTTCGTGCCATGTTGGCTTCCAACTGTTCAGGATCTTATCAGTTGGGTTATGTGTTGGGCTCTAAGTGATGGGTTTGGGTTGTTCATAGTGGGCCTTGACCTTTGTGGGCCTAACTACGTCAGAAGTCCCCCATTCCCAAGTGCAGATTTAGCCCAATGAAGGAGAAAAACTTTTTATGGAAATCACTATTTGTTATGAATTTTTATTCTAAAAATCACCTCAAAATAAGATATATGATACTGATTTAAATTTATAGGACGGAGACATACGTAGAAGGATTATAGTATATAAATGTAATATTGTTATTTATTTATGGGTTTTGTTGATATTATTTGATGGTACAGTTACGATACAATGGATTTCAGGTGAAATAAGTGGGATTAATCCACGCTTCTTTAACCAGTAACTGAGTGTTCAAGTCCACCAGAGAACCTGCACACAAGTTTAACAGGGGAACGGGGAGTCTCCCAGCGAAGCCTCCGACGAGCAAGTTAGAGAGAGAGAAGTGTAATGTAGAGATATGAATTGGAGGTAGAAAGCTTAACCTTCTTCTTGTCTTCAACGTCTGCTTATATCCTTTGGTAATCATTTCGCCGTCCCTTCCGACCTGCCACCTTGGCCTAAAGTCTATGCTGTAGCTTACCTTATTCAGGGTGAGAAGGTGCTATTCCGACAGAGAGGTGTTGTCGTAATAAATGTTATGATGGGCCGCATTAATGGCGATGTGCAGTGGCAATAACTTTACAGATCTTTGTCTGCTGATGTGATTTGTCCTTTACCTGCCACATGTCTGAATATCATTGGTTCTTCGTGCCATGTTGGCTTTCAACTGTTCAGGATCTTATCAGTTGGGTTATGTGTTGGGCTCTAAGTGATGGGCTTGGGTTGTTCATAGTGGGCCTTGACCTTTGTGGGCCTAACTACGTCAGAAGTCCCCCATTTCCAAGTGTAGATTTAGCCCAATGAAGGGAATACTAATGGAGAAGATGGGGAAGACCGACCGTGAAGGGTGGCCGAGTGGAAGGACAGACCATGAGGAGGACCGACTGCGAAGGGTGGCTGAGTGGGAGGGCTGACCATGAGGAGGACCGACCGCGAAAGGTGGCCGAGTGGATAAGCCGACCATGAGAAGGATCGACCGCGAAGGGTGGCCGAGTGGGAGGGCCGACCATGAGGAGGACCGATCGCGAAGGGTGGCCGAGTGAATGGGCCTACCATGAGGAGGACCGACCGCGAAGGGTGGCCGAGTGGAAGGACCGACCATGAGGAGAACCGACCGCGAAGGGTGGCCGAGTGGGAGGTTGAGGGGGGGGCGCGGGGCTCAAGAAGCGGCGTGTCACGTGATGACTTGAAGTGGAAAAGACAGGGTAAGGGAAGGTGGTAGTGAATCGTGATCGTATACGTGGCAGCATCTCGTGGGGAGGGAGATTAGGCGGTGGGCCAGAAATGAAACGATAGGTCATGATGGGTGTTGAAAAGACAGTTTTGGCGGATGTTTTTGAAAAGTTTTCAAACTGGCGAAAATTAATTGTGACCCTTGGAATACGGGCAAGCCTTGGGCTTTTGATATTATTCGATTTACCTACTTCTTTACAAAAAATCAAAACATTCCAAGTGTTAACTCCTTTGTTGCTGACGATACAGCTTTGCAACATTTCTTGAATTTTCTTACACCCGCTTCCGAAGCTATTCATAGGCACACCACAGAGATGGCTCAAGAAGAAGCTGGAACCGCCAGGGTTGATTTGTTTGGGGATGACGACGCAATGGAGCTGGCGGAGCAGTACTGGACGGAGAGAGAAGTGGAGAGGGTAGGAGAGCCGATGGTACAATCCCATTCTTCCATCATGATGGTGGCTCCGAAGCCAATCAGCCAGGCGGAACCAGATCATTAGCATACGAAGGCTGACAAATCAATGGTTACTGCAGCGGACTTGGAGGTTATGTGTGGAAAATACTAGGTTCCCGCTGAAATAGAGTTACTGTTACCGTCGTCAACGGAGAGGCCATCCGACGCCCCGCCGGGGGAGTTTGCCCTATACGAGGAAGCATTGAAAGGAGGACTGAGGCTGCCGCTTCCGCAAGTGGTGGTTGATGTCCTAAACCGGTTGGAGGTAGCGCCGGGGCAACTAATGCCCAACGCGTGGAAGATTGTGTTAGCCTGTGCAAGCGCGTGGCCGAAGGCGACTAAAGGGGCGGCTATGACGGTGGACGAATTTTTTGTGTGTTATGAGGCCTCAGGACAGCAAGAGACTTGGGTGACGTTGCAGGCGACGGCAGGGAGGGGTCTGGTGACGGGGCTGCCATCATCCATTAAGGTTTGAAGGCCGCGGTGGTTTTACGTGTCTGCGAATGGAGAGGTTGGGGTGCATACGGTGTGGAGAGTGCCCACAAAATCTGTGGAGCCAAAACTGGGGGCGGTAGTAGAAGAGAGGATAAAAAAGGTGAAGGCATAGAAGGAGAAGGAGGGAGTCAGGTGGGACGAACTCGTTCAACCTTCAGCCTTGTTTGCAGTGAGATTGGGTCCTCAGCCGAGCGTTGGAGATTTGGGACGGGCTGAACTAGAGGCGAGGAGAAAAGCGCAAGAGGCTGAGGATATGGCCATCCTTGCCAAAGCCAGTAAGTTCAAAGAGTCCCAGGCAGACCGACCGACAAAACCGATCGCGAGGGAGAGGATCCGACCTCGCCCCAAACCCCTGGGGGAAAAAGACTTAGGTGGATTTGAGCCACGACCGCCCCCAGTTGATCCTTTAAAAGAGAGAGCCCACGGGGAGATGCAGGTGGAGGGTGTGGTGAAGAAGAAGAGGAGAGTGAGGAGGAGTGAAGAAGAGCCTGCCTTAAAAAGGAGGAAGGAGATGACGGCAGAGGAGACCCCATGGCCAAGGAGGCAAGGGAGGAGGGGGTAGGGGAGATCCCAGGACGAATGGTTGCCCCAAAAGTGGTGGAGGTCGCCTCAAAGGTCATGGAAGTCGTCCCAGTAGTGGCGGAGATCGCCCAAAAAATTCAAGTAGAAGGTGAGGCAATTGGCCCTGAGCCGAGGGGAGAGGAACAGTCCTAAGGGGGTCCTGCGTCCCAAGGAGGAGGGGAGGTTAGGCTAACGACTGCGATTTACCACGCTCACGCGATGTCTGGGCGATTAGAGGGAGAAGAAGGCCCCGCCAGGGCAGCTGCAGATCGCCTTGTTGGGATCGTGGATGAGGCGGCTGTGCGCTCGGCAGCCAGGTTCAATGAGGCTGAGCTACTAAGGGGGTTGTGCTCTGTCCAAATGGAGGTAACCACCTTAGCTGGGGCTTTACTGAGAAAGGCGGCGGCTACAAAGGTCAAGTTGGATGAGGCCAAGGCTCAACTTGCAAACTTCAAAAGGGAGAGTGCAGGGTGGAAGAAGGTTGCGTGAAGCGCGTGCTCCAGAGGTTGGCATGAAGCTGAAAAAGCTAAAAAGATGCAAGTGTTGGCCATTGTTCACCGCAATGTTGCCGACCGAGCCCAAGCTGAGCTGATCACGGTCAAGTTGGAGCTAGAAGACGAACGCCGCCAGGTTGTGTCGCTCGAGTTTCAGCTGGTTAGCGAGCAGAAGAAGCTTAAGGAGGCTCAAAGGGCCTACGCGGTCGCCATTGAGCGACATGAAGAGGCTATGACCAGCAATAAAGAACTGCGTGCCCAGCAAGTCAAAAAAAAGGATGAAGCAGACGTGAAGATTGCTGGGCTGCAGAAAAAGATGGAAGACGAGCGTACTAAGGCAATGGAGAGGAGGGCGAGCCTGCAGAAGGAGTTGGAGGAAGAGAGGACCAAGACGGCCTCTGAAAGGGAGCATGCGAAGGGTTGAGGAAAA